TGAGGTCCCTTTAAATGCGACGGCCAGAACTCACTTCAGAGTTCAATCACACTTCTTCCCTCCCCTCTCCCAGAGCCTCCTGGTAAATCCCGTTTCACCTGGCAACCCTAAGAAGCAGACAAGGTGAATTCTTTTTATGCATTCTTCAAGCACAGGGCGTGCAGAAATCCTGGCTGAGAGGTAGCAGTTTCTCATGATTGGTTCTGCTGAGGTTCAGGAAGGACCCGGTATAATGAGAAAACATCCTTGTGTGGTGTACCTGTACTTTGTGAACGGACGGTGAAAGTTTGCCTGGAAAAATGTCCAGCCTCTCTCTGCAGCTTGCCAAGAGAGTTGCATCTATGCATACAGGTTAATAATACATTCTTAAAAGGTGCTCTACGGCTTCATTTATCCTCAGTGGCCGTTTACAGAGGGTTTGAGCCAAAGTACTCTGAGTGAAACGGAGCTTGCAGGACAAATCTTTCCTGCCTTCCCCTTCACACTGCAGCTCCCTGCACCAAAAACTTGGGGGCACAGAATGAGGGTCGACAGTGGGAAGGTAAATTGGTGGAAATCATTTCCCCCAACACAGTGATGTGCGGGAGAATGTTTTTGAGAAATTTTTCCAGTGCTATATTTTTTCTTGGAAACTGTTCTGCCTTGCATATGTCAATATGCTGCCAGGGCTGTAAATCAGTCATGCTAGATGGGCTAACTGTGGAATATGAAACAGGAACAAATCCCAGTGCTTGTACATGGTCCAGGCTCGTACAGGGTGTGTTTGCCTTCCTTTGCTAACATAAGTTAGATTTTGCTTGCATTATTCAATTATTTAAATTATTTAAATAAATATTTATTTCCAACTCTCCCCTATCCATTAGTGTGACTAAAAGTGGCCTCCCAGTCACAGAGTTAGGCTCTGGGATCCATCTTAAAGTATATCCAATTGTAAGGCCAGTATTGTTGTAAGGAACCTGTTGGCGGGCAAATTGTTGGTTTCTCTTCCGGGCTCTCTTTTGTTTATGACAGTTTACCCTCTTTCTCAAATCCTCTCCTTGAGGTCGTATGGAAAATCTCTTAACCTTTGTCTCTCTGAAGGGTCTAAAATTTCTCCATAGGGACAGTGGATTCTGTGGTTAATTCCTTGGGGAGTGGACTAGGCTAACTGTAATGTGTACAGAGTATGTTGTTGGTTGGAGAGCTTCAGAGCTGCAGTAGCCTACATGTAGAGCCACCTTGGCTACCTTCTGCAGGTTCATCATTAGTGGTCCAGAACAGCTAGTCGTTTAAAGTAGCTCAGCGGTGGTGCCCATTTCTTCTCCTTGGTTTCCCCAAACATAATATCTCAGGCTTGCAGTTAACTGTCAGTCTGTAGTGTTGTACCTTCCTGATCGGTACCTTCCGCACTGAAGGCTTTCCCGCTGGGAGGGCTGCTGCAGCCTCCTCGATCAGCTCTGTGGCTTCTGTTCCTTAGCCGCCAGGTCTGATGCAATGTCTTGCCACTTCTGGCCACCTCCCACCCAACTCCAAGGTCTATAAAAGACCAGAGGAGTTTCAGGATTGACACTGAAGGCTCAGTGGGTTGAGTCTTCTTCTGAAGAGAGCCTCAGCACGCTTCTCCATCAGCCCCGCAGCTCCTACGGAGGCCTCGGTTCACACACGCCTTTTATAGACCACTGCCGTGCCTCGGAGGTAGCCATCGCACCTGCCGTGGCATCACACCACTTCCCGGCCACCTCCTGCTCGCACCAGGTAAAAGAAGTGCATGGCTGAGGAACGAGGCTTTCGATGGAGGGGCTGCTGGCCTGGCAGAGAATGCTGCCGCTCCTTCTCCTCCCAGAAGAGGACAGGCTTCCCGGGACACTCCGGCGTGGGAGCTCAGCGGCAGTAGCAGCCCCTGCTTCCCCACTGTGGTGTATTCAATCTGACTAGAGTATGTATGTGAACTCTGTCATTGAAACACCACGTGAAGCTTTCATCCTGGGCTAGGATCCTAATCCGTCACTTGTAATTGGTAGCCCAGGAAGAACCGACCAATCACCAACAGCCAGTTCCAAGAGCGGGAACTATTGTGATTGGACCTTATCTCTGCAACCTCATAGGTTGATATTGTATAATAGGGCGTGGCTACGTTAGCCGGGAGAGTTTAAAAGTAGAACAGCTTCAATGTAAAAGCTGTTCTGGCTATTCATGTTGATCTGTTTGGAGTTGAGTTATAACTGAGTTGCTGAATAAAGCTGATCTTTTGCTGAAATCACTCTCTGAGTCTTTGTTAAGTAACCGACTTAACACCCACCCAGTCCGAAAACCCCTGTGACAAAGCAGTGCGGTTGGAAACAGCCCTGAGCAAGATTCCCCTGTATTTTAAGTTTGCCAGAGCATAACTTTGCATAGCTGGCCTGACTATACTCTTTGGACAGAGGCGATTGGAAAGCTGTAGAAATCCCGCATATGGAAAACTCGTATCTGGGCCAGAATCTAAATTAACTGCTTTAAATGAACTGGATCATAAGCTGCTCTTTAACTGAATTATTCATTGGGCTTTGCATTAATAGACTCGCCTGGCCGTCCATTCTGTTTTCACAGTTTGCCTCGGTGGGTCTCTCTCTCTCTCTGCAGTAGAGATGCCGAGTTCCTCAGAACAAGCTCTGCCTGCCAGATAGTCACTTGATTAACCTGGCCATTGTAGTGCAGAATTCTTAGGGGATGGAGATTGCACAGAAAACATTGCACAGGTGAAAAGACTGAGAACAAAAATAGGAACCAGCCTCTTGAGGCCAGCAGTGTTACATTAGAAAACAGTTGGATCCTTTGTGTTTGTTCCGGGCCGCCTTTTAGAGTGTGTCTTTGCAGGCAGTGACAGAGAGCCGTTCTGACAAGGCAGCCAGCCCGTTTTTGTTCCTCTGTGCACAGCACTCACTGATCTTGGTGCAGCAACACACGAGGAAACTTCATGTGGAAGCGATGTATGTAGATACGGCCTCAGTTGTGGGAGTCCATTCATCTGCTGTGTTATTATTAATTCAGAAAATGTATCTCCCACCTTTCTGTCATCAGTGTGTAGCGCTCAGGATGGCTAGCTGAAGGTGTGCGCTGCTCCTACCATCTCTGTGGATGAGATGACATTTAAAACAGCCTTGGGTCTCCATTGCACCTTGCATTGTGTCTGTTTTTGCTCACTTGGCATTGGGCTGGATTGTTCTGTTCCATAGCATCAAATCTCCAGCTGCTGCTCATCTAAGCCACTGTAGATAAGACTGCAGGGTTTTTGTGTACTTGTTATGGAAATACCATTTTTTTTAATCCAGAGCAACTTAACGTTAAGCTGAACTAACATCATGAGAAGCCAAACCATGTTTGTGCCCCTGGAAGCTCTCCTGATAGGGGGAAGGGCAGGATGGAAATGACCTAAGTAAAGAAATAAAAATTAATACCTGAACAAAAATGTTCCTTAGTAGAATGCAGCCCGACGGCTCTGGTCCTGAAAGCATCAGTAAAACCACTGCATTTCCACAAGCAACTTGATTCAAGTTATGAGCTTTTAAGAGCAGATTTTAAGGAAGGAGTTGTCAGTACTGTCTCTCTTAGCACCCTGGGACCAAGTACCTTTAACTCTCAATGCCAAGAAAGACATGGGCTATTGTTTTTTTTTTTAAGTTCCATTATCTCTGGATTAACTGAGAGTGGCCACTTTTTCAAAACTTCCCGGGACTTGTGTACATCACGGCATCTGGCAGTGCCATCCTAAGAAGAGCGATGTCATTCAAAGGCCGTCGACTCTTGCTTGGTTTAGGAGGGCATGGTAACTCTCCAGATGATTCAGCCTTGCTGCCCACCTTTTGTGGTGCCCCCAGCAACCTACTCTTGCATCAGGTGCAGCTCTGTTCGTTTGGGCTGCCAACTGCCTGAGCATTTGGATGTCTCTCAGGCTGCCTAGGCAAGCGAACAAGCATCTAACAGCCCAGTTGCCCTGAGATGGGCTGAAAGAGTCCCTCGCTCGGCTTCCGATCTGTTCAGCTCTGCCAGGCTGGCTGGTCGCCGGTGTTCCCTCTAAGCTGAGTTAGTGTGAGCTAGCTCACTGGTTTTTTAGCCTCCGGTTCACACACTGAGATCAGTTCACCTGGCCACTTTGGAAGGTAGGGTCTATGGCATTATGCCCCACTGAAGTCCACTCCCAAACCCCACCCTCCTCAGGCTCTGCCCCTCCCCCAAATCTCCACGTATTTCCCAACTTGGAGCTGGCAACCCTATATCCAACCCCCAGCTGCTCCCCAGGGTCCATGCAGCTTATGGCAATGAATGAAGAAAGGCACACCCACACAACTTGTGACGCACCAAGCCAAATGCCATCCACCAGCCATGGCCTGTCAGGGATGCAACAGTCCATTTTTTGCACTTCCAAGCAGGAAGCCAAGGACTCAATCAGGGTTCTCCCTAAGCTGAGTTAGTGTGAGCTAGCTCAGAGTTTTTTAGCCTCCGGCTCACACATTTTTGTCTCAGCTCAGGAAGGAGGGCTCCAGAGCAAACTGATTTATGCAGTAGCCCAATCGCTCGCTCAAAACTTTCATGTTAGTAGCTCACGAAGTAGAATTTTTGCTCACTAGACTCCACAGCTTAGAGGGACCATTGCTGGTCGCTTGTGTAAAGTGGAGTTAGTTTATCCTGGTGTCAGTGTTTTGGTAAGTTTTCACTATCGTAAATTACAGTGGCTTCAGTAACCTCAGCAGGTGTGTTGGTTCCCTCTTCCCCTCCACCCACCTCACCTCACCCCACCCCACGGGCCTTAGCCGTTTTTGACAACGGAACTGGTGCAAAGAGGATTGAACAGCACTGGCCTTTCCTCAGCTGCTGCTGGAGAAACTGCGGAGCCGCTGATTTTGCATTTCATCCTCAGTGGGGAACAGGGTTCCTTCTCTTTGGCTTTCCCCTTTCAAATAAACTTAGATGCATATGAGATTTAAAAAAAAATAATACGAAAAGACAGCATCAAAAATTGGGATGACCCTTTTTTTAAAAAGCAAAAGGCAAAATGCAAAACTGACTCCTTGAGGATTTATCTTGCTAACCATCTCTTGTTTTCATTTTTTTCTTCATGTACTAATAAAGCTGCCCGTTTCTTTCAGGTGGGTGTACATGGCATTAGAATAGAATTCATCAATGAAAAAGGATCAAAACGCACCGCCACCTACTTACCGGAGGTTGCAAAGGAGCAAGGTCATTGTTGCACTTTATCTCATATGATCTGGTGAAGGATTTAAACATACCTAGGAACTTAAAATGCAATATGTGACCTTGCGCTGATGTCAGATGATGGAGCGATACTTTAATTGTAAGGGATGACTCTTATCTCAATGCCACTTTATGTATCCATAGACAATAAGTCCCTTTATTTGGAAGACTTCCGTAACTTGCAGCCATATAGTCTTATGCTACAGTCCGCAATATATCAAATGGCCACAGTAGCAGGTAGTGCAAAGTCCTTCTGGTAGCTGGAGCAGCTCTTTGCTACTTTAATATCACTAAAATGGCAATGTCTTTTCAATTAGCTATGGGGTTATTATTTGTGGCAGTATTTTCATCGCTGCTCTTTTTTTTTCTTTCTTTCTTGTGAGGCTGTTGCTGTTGGTACTTAACCCGTATGTGGTTTGAATGACATACTACTGGGGGTTTTTTTTGGGGGGGGAGAAGGCAGTTGGCTCCCATGCCTGTGGGTCTCTTTACACATTACGGGTTGGATCCTGCCAGGTTTTCTGCTGGTGGAAAAGGGAAGAAGCACCCGCCTTGACCCCTGAAAAGGCTATGCCAGGGATTGTGGGATCAGCACGAGCAAAAAAGGCATACACCGCAATGCAGCAGGGAATCCGTGGAGACGGCCCTTCCTTCCCGTTACACCAGCAGAAAAGCCCAAGGTACCCACTCCATGGTTTTCAAGGTACACATTGTGAACAGGTAATGTGGATTGGGACTGAACAAGTGCTGGGAAGCCATGTTGCTCATACAGGTCAGAATGGGCCACAGCTATCTCTCAAGTGTGCAGTTGGCATGTGATGTGTGGAAAGACCCTGTGCCTACTGGACCGGGAGGTTAAGAAGCCACACACTTACGATCAGGTGTCCCGTCCCCTCCCTAGCAGAGCAAGTGCCTCCTTAAGGGCAGCATCTGGGAGTGGCCCCCGTACATGCCGTGCTGCAACAAAGGCACAGGCCCGTTGACAACTCCTTCAGGAAAGCTCTGTGAACTTAGTCATTCATTCTTTACACTCGATGAAGCTGCTGAAGTCTGTCCACTGGTGTTCTTCTCTTCCAGTTGCAAAGCCATTGTTTTCATTGTTCATTATTTGATTTTTGTTTATGTAATGATTTGATTTAGCTGCATTTTTGTGTCTCTGCTGTGGAGTTCTTAACAATTCACTATGGATGACCCTCAAGAGGCAATTCCTTGTGTATAGCAGGAGTCACCACTAGAAAGCCTGGGGTATTTGTTTAGCCCCTGACTTTCTATACCTGTGTCTTCTAAGCTACCGTGGTTTCTCAAGATGTCAGGTTCACTTGATTTACAAAATGTACTAAAAGCGTGTGGAAAATCTTCGTCTGTGGATCCTTTGAAACAATCCCCCACACACACCTTTGCAAGCCCTGTTGAAATCAGTGAAAGACCAAGCTTGGTTGGATTCTGTTCCTTTTAAGTAACATTTATTTTCTGTGCATTGCTATGGTATGGCCCTTTTAACAACTGGGGGTAACTTCCTACTTGTACCCTTCATCATTTATAGCAATGTCCAGCAGATGGTTTACTTTTAGGATCAAGGATCCATGTTCTGATGTCAGGAGCCTCCTATCGGTTGACGTGCTCACCCATTCCCTTCCCCCTTCCCTCACATGCAGAGCACAACTGACTTTGGACGCCTCAAACCAATTTGCCATAATGCCCAAATGTAGGTACTTTGGCAAACTGGAGTTCATTTCGTCCGCACAAACTCAGATTCTAAGCTGGGATTTAACCACAGTTTAGACCCCCGATTTGTGGCGAGGAAACGAGCTGCCGTTTGCCCGGATGCCTGCACGGAGCTGGTAGGACAAACTGGTGTGTCCAGTTGAAGGCTTTTCTTTGCAAGGAGGCGAAGGGAGCAGGTGAGCACAGCCACAAGCCAAGTTTATCCCCATCTTGAACCAACAGAGACAGCTGAATACAGCCTTGGAGGAAACTGTTTGGAAGCCCAGTTTTTTTAATTAGTGTGGCTGCCTCCAAATGTAACCTTGGAAGTGGGGCACTGAGGCACAGTTGAACATTGGCATTGATGGGGGAAACTCTCCTATTGTGGGTGATGCCATTTGGAGATTTTCTACATTCCTAGTTTCAATCAATAATCCTGCAATATTGGCATTAAAAACCTGGGTTCCAGGTGATTCTAAGCATATGTAATATGTATTATTTGAGAGGAGCCAGCCTTTTACGTGTACGTCATGGTTGATTTTTTTTTTTTTAAACAAAAACTAGACGGTAGAATTGTGCGTGCTTCGTAATTGCTTGCCAGAACACACTGCTTTTCACCGGAGAAAATTGTGCAGTTTTCTTCTAACAAGAGCCATTTCCAAAAAGAAAGGAAGACAGAGCATTTGCACGTCATACCTTTAGGGCTGAAAGGGAGGGGGAGGGGATTGCGGCAGCAATGGCTTTTGCCATCAAGTTTCAACATGCTGTGTGTGTGTTCTAATACTTTTTTTCCTCATGCATCTCAACAGGATGGGACCACATTCAGACCATAGATTCCTTATTGAGGAAAGGAGGCTATAAAGCTCCAATTACAAATGATTTCAGGAAAACTATAAAACTGACCAGGTAGGTGGCCTTTTGGCACACAAAGTCTGCATTTGATGTGTTTGGCTGTTTCTGTGTTGCACAAACTGGTTTCTGTAGCTCCACCCCAGACATCAGCACCCTGTGAGCTTCCATTCTGGTAACATGTGCTTTACAAGAGCCTTCTCTCCTTGAGGCTGGTCTCTTCTTCTCGGGGGGGCGTTCGTGCCTGCTGTTGAACCTAAAGGGAAATCTGTCATGTTTAGGCTCCTAATGTTCAAAAGATGCTTTCCTGCTTAAAGGCTGTGGTGCCATATCGGAGGACCACCGTCATGTCATAGCTTTTCAGCTGGAGGCTGGATCAGCTAGCCGGACTCCAGGTAGCTGGTGAGCTCTCAGCAATACGGAGCTTTAAATCCACGAGAGATGGGGTCCCCCATGGCGTCACTCTTGCTGCGCCCCACCCCCACCCCTTGGACACGGTGCGGAGTCACAACTGACTCGTGGCACTTCCACAAGGTGTTCCAGGCAGGAGGTGAGCAGAGGTGGTTTGCTGTCCCAGGGCTCTTTTTGTAGAAAAAGCCCAGCAGGAACTCATTACCATAACAGGCCACACCCAACAGCAGAAACTCATTAGCATATTAGGCCACACCCCCATGCATTCCCTTGGTTTGCCTGGGCAAGCCCCCCCTTGAAGGGAAGGGAAGGCATTTAAACGCCTTCCCGATCCTTCCAGGGTCCCCTCTGGCCCACCCACCTCGGAGTTGCTGGGGGTGTGTGTCGCTCTCCAGGCCTTCCCTCTGTGGTCACGCACGCAGAGGTTTTGGCTGTAGTGGGCGTGGCCAACTCTGAAGCCAGCCGGATCTCCGTTCCTGTGTGTTCCTGCCCAAAAATAGCCCTGGCAGTCGCCTTCCTCCACATAACAAGCCCCCGTCTCCTTTGTTAGTCTCGTATCCAAGTGGTGACCGTGGCCCACCCAGCCGAGCGCCAAAGTCCTCAGCTGCTGAAAAACAGAGAACGGAAACAACTAGGGTGGATTAGCCTTCCTACTCTAAGGGGAAAGGGGGGTAGATTCCTTCTGTTTCTGCCGTATGGGCAGTCACCTCTCCAGTCCCACACAAATCCACACCTTGGTGAAACACACCAAACCAGATGCAAGTCTTTAAGGGAAGCTTTAAAGTGTGGAGTGTCGCTGTGACTGAGAAAGAGAAAGTGGCTTGTCCTGCTTGGCGTTTTCTTTTCCTTTTTTCTTTTTTAAAGGACTATACATGCTTGGAGAGCCAGTGGTCTGTAAGTGACCTTTAAAACTGTTCCAGGTCTTGGAGGGGTGGGAAGCCTGTGTGTTTCTTGCCTTGGGCACACATCCAGCCACCGGGAGATTTGTCTCCTGGAGTTCACTCCATCATATCAAAACGTCCGGCTGCTGCTCAGAGCCAAGCCCCGTGCTTCCTGAGCAATGCCCGTAAGCTGCGGAGATCAGAAACAAAACAAATGTGTGCAGTGCTGCTTCCTCCCAAATCTCTGCAAAGCAGTGGTTTACCATGACAGGATTGGGTTGGTTGTGTTCCCTTTTGTGGGGAAACTGAGTAGCATCAGCTATGGAAAACAGCTTCCTTGAGGAAAGAGCGTGGCACGTGGTACTCAAGAATATGGTGGGCCTTGGCACTCCTTGCCCCTTCTGATCTGCCCATGTTGGCAAAAGAAAACTTAACTGGGTTGAATGTGGCCCTGCCAGGGAAGATCAAGTAGGGACTTAAGAGAGCCAGGGTGGTGTGAGGGTTAAGAGGTTTGGACTAGAAACTGGGAGATCCAAGTTCAGATCCCCTCTTGTGCCACGGAAGCTCGCTGGGTGACCTTGGGCCAGTCACACCCTCTCAGAAGCACAGGGTGGTTGTTGTGAGGACAAAATGGAGGAGAGGAGAAGGCTGTCGGCCACCCTGGGTCCCCACTCGGGAGAAATGTGGGGTTACAAATAAAGTAAATTTAAAAATTCCCGTGGCATTTTCTCAAGAGCTGTTCTCAAGAGTCACCTCTGTCTGCTGCCACATGTTTGATTTGTGGTGTTTAATGTAGGCCAGGGGTCCACAACCTTTTTGACCCTGTGGGAACCTTTGAGATTCTGGCATGGGCTGCAGATGGCTGCTGCAGGAGGTGGGGCCAAGCACAAAACGTCAGGGACTGGCGGTTATACAGAACAGTAGCTCTTCAGCCTCTGCTTAACAGGATGCCTTTTAGAATGAACACACAGTTTAAAAGTATTCCTTGCATACTTCAGTCATGCAGTGAAGACCCTTGTGCTGTGGTGGCAGCTGCTGCCAATGCATTTTTTTATCTGCATGGATTTCCAGTGGCCAATCAGAAGCACAGGTGGGCAAAACTCCCACGTGACCCCACCCACTTTCTAAAAATATTTCTAAAAAGCAGTGAGCTTTGATTGCTGCCTTATTCAAGTACTTGAAGGCTGTCATCTAGAGGATGCCGTGGAGTTGTTTTCTGTTGCCCCAGAAGGTCGGACCAGAACCAGTGGGATGAAATTAAATCAGAAGCGTTTTCGGCTAAACATTAGGAAGAACTTCCTGACAGTTAGAGTGGTTCCTCAGTGGAACAGGCTTCCTCAAGGAAGTGGTGGGCTCCCCTTCTTTGGAGGTTTTCAAACAGAGGCTAGATGGCCATCTGACAGCAATGTGGATCCTGTGACTGGATTCTTAGGCAGATCGTGAGAGGGAGGGCAGGAAGGGTTGCCTCAGTGCTTAGTTCTTGTGGCCCTTTCTTACACGCCCAGGGGAATGCTGATGGCCACTTTGGGGTCAGGAAGCAATCCTGGAAGTTTTTTGTCATCTGGGCGGAACAGCGGTCTCTGCGGGTGTGGAGGGGGAGGTATTTGTGAATTTCCTGCCTTGTGCAGGGGGTTGGACTAGATGACCCTGGATGTACCTTCCAACCCAAGGGATTCTATGGTAGGCTCTAGGAAAGGTGTTGGGAGCCGCCATGGGTCCTACACTGGGGATTCCATCCTGATGTAGACTCTGGGAAGTGAATGGAGAGACAGAGTTCTGTGGGCATTAGTTCCAGATTATGGGCATTAGTTCCAGAAGCAAAACTGCCTGGGACACAAATGTTGGCTGAATGGTCCCTTAATGCCATTCCGTAGATCTCAAAGGAGAGAAGTCTAGGAGAGCTAAATATGTCTCCTGAGCAGGGCTATTTTTGGGGCAGAACATACCGGAACAGCGTTCTGGCTGTCTTCTGATTTGGCCACGCCCCTTTCCCGCCGGCTCCCTGCACTTTAAGGGAGCCCCTTTAAGTGCAGAGAGCCGGAAGGCCTTGCACGCCCGATCTCCAAGCGGCAATCAGGTGCACGGGGCCCTTTCCTGATGCAGGGAGCCAGAGGCCCCTGCCTGCCCGATCTCCAAGTGGAGATTGGGCACGCTGAGCCCTTTCCCACTGGCTCCCTGCACTTAAAGGCAGCCCCTTTAAGTGCAGGGAGCCGGAGGCCCCTGCCCTCCTTATTTCCTTCTCTCCTTTCTTTCCCTCCTTTCCTTTCTTTATTTTTCTTTCCCTCCTTCTTTCCTTCTCTCTTTCTTTCCCTCATTTCCTTCTCTCCTTCTTTTTCTTTCCCTCCTTCTTTCCTTCTCTCTCTTTCCCCCTTTCTCTCCTTCTCTCTCTCTCTCTCTCTTTCTTTCTTTCTTTCTTTCTTTCTTTCTTTCTTTCTTTCTTTCTTTCTTTCTTTCTTTCTTTCTTTCT